TGTAATAGCATTCTACCCTGGAATAATTTACTCTCCAGCTTACTACCGTTATATTCCTGGATATCCAAGAGTTGATACACACAACCCGCACTTGATCACAAGGTATGACGGAACTGTTATCAATGCACAGCCTTGGGGTGTTGGGGGTGAAATCCGTGAAGTGTGGGACCTCTCGAGTGTTATTAAATCTAGGCCAAATGTAAAAGATGATGCTAATAATAAAGGTTCTGACCAAATTTGGAAGATGCTCAATAAACCTTTGCAAGCCACATGAGTGGCTAGTAGTGGCGGTGTGTTGGAGCGGAGAAACCCACTAGCTTTTGCCCATTATGCGAACCACCCTGCAAAAGAGATGGTCCCAAACGTAAGGGTTTGCCCTTATGATTTTCCGTTAACTGAGAAGGATATGAGAACCTATATACCAAACATAAAGTTTGGAAGTGGAGAGGAAGCGAAGATGAAGAGGTTTGGAATTTTTGGTTTAAATCTTGGGGATCTAGCAACGGTGAATCAGATGTTCCGGTTCTTAAGGCTCTTGTCCTTGTGGCCACTAGGCCACTTTGTGATGAAGAGGTGCTCTTGAACTACAGGTTAAGCAACTCAAGCGGCGACAATCCTGGTATACTCCAGTAGATGAGGAAGAGGATTGGAGAAGCTGGAGCTGAATTAGAGAATTGGATATTGAAGCAACTTCTTCTTGTTCTTCTTTTATTTTTATTTTGAATTCAGGTTTACAACCATATGCCATTGTGGCATTACATGATCATTTCTTTAGTAGCTGTCTCACTTGAGTTTCTTTGTTCCTTGGACTTTTTCCTCTCTTTTTGGATGTCATTATAAAGCTTTTTCAAAGCTGCAATTTTACCCTTTTGATTGTAACCTAACAATGAAGTGGACTATGCTAAAATCATCATGTTGACATTCTTCTCTCTCTCTCTCTCTCTCTCTCTCTCTCTCACACACACACACACACACACACACACGGCATAGTGAAAATATTATCAGGCCAAATTTATAAGTGGAAGCATGTTCTGAATTATGGTTGCTTGTAATTTGAAGCATATTTCCTAGAAGTAAACTCAAAGTAATATATTTATCGCATATATTGGTTGATTTTAAAAGGCTGAGTGTTATGATCCTACATCCCTTAACAGTTGGTTTGATCATGTGAATATAAGCTCTTAGGTATCCTCTCCTTGCAAGCTAGTTTTCAAGGGTTAATTCTGCTTATGGATTTTTATTATTTGGTATAAAATTTGGCTACCATGTCAAGTATAGAATCATATGAGTTACTGTTTAATGATTCAAGCCTCAGAGAGGGCAACCTATATGCTAACAGAGATGGTGAACTATAGGCTAGATGAAGACACTAGTACTGTAACAGTACCAACACACTTTTTACAAAGACTTTGGAGATGACTTTTTTTTCTTGAAACACCATACAAAGTGAGTACTAAACTTTTTCAGTGGTCAGATTTATGATTGTGATTACAATATATATTTTTTTTCTAGTTATATTAGTGAGAAAAATATTTAAATGTAAAAAGTAAAAAAGGTAAATTTAAAAATTTAACCACTTCAGCTACTTATATAAATCAATCAGTTATATAAATCAGTCAACTTTATTGAATTTAGTACATTATCAAATAACCTTTAATTTTTAATATTCAGTTTTATCAAATATGACCTAAGACAAGTTTGATATGTAGAAAATATTCAGTATTGGAAGGGTGTCACTTGGGGTGGTTTAAGGAAAAGCAAATCAAGCAAGATTTCTTAGGGGGGTTTAACCACGTTAAAATGGGCTAATATATTGTTTGATCTCATATCCATTTTTTTTATTAGTCCATCATAATAACAATGTAAAAAGGTTTAAAATTGAATGGAACAAAAGAATCATTAGGATTTGATAGAGCTTTTATCCGTATTTAGGCCTGTTTGAAGAGGGGTTCAAATAGTTACAAAAATTATTATAAGTTGTTAAATTATTTTTTTACACTTTTATTTATTTATAAAATGTCAAAAAATCAACTCCAAAACAACCCCCTATATTTAAACACCATAAGAAAATGCTGCCCATAAATGATTTTTTAACTAAGCTTTTTTATCAATAGAGACAAGGACAATGAATTTCACATATATTTATTAACATAAATTTATGATTTTTGTGTTAGTAATAAGAAAATTTGATTAAAAAAATAAACTTGGGTAAATTATACCGCTAGTCTTGGTATTTTAACCCTTATGTCATGTTGGTCACTGTAATTTGAATTGGTTCAATTTTAATCATGATTTTTGACTTTATCTCAAATTGGTCTAATAAATTTCAATTGTATGTATGTATGTAATTTTTTTTTTATTTTTTATTTTTAATGAAAAAAGCACACATGAGTAGGTGTCATGCTTTTAGAAATAAAATTATAAATTTAATTAATTCAGTGACTCAATCTGAACTAACTCAATGATCATTTCTCATAAAAAATCCTAATAGTATTATCAATTGAACTAAATTGATATAAAATTTAAAATTAAAAACTAAAACGATAGAAACCAAATGATACAAACATCAAAATATAAAAACTACAGGTATAATTTGTCTAAAAATCTTTTATGTATAAATATTACCCAAGTTCACAATACTTGAATAAAAAATGATATACTACCTATGAAGAACACCGCAAACCAAAATTCAAAGATCTCCACATCTAAAACTATTATGAACCCTTCTTCCCAAAAAAAAAAAAAAACAAAAAAAAACAAAAAAAAAAGCAAAAAAAATTATGAACCGTACAATATAAATGCTTACTAAATCCAAATCATTAACAAAGCTAAGAAACACCCTCTCTCTCTCTCGCTCTCTCTAATATCTTCCAACTTTAGAGTAAGGATCGACTCCACCAAAAATTTGATCCGTTGCATCCATTGCAAAACTTTCACCCCATGAGACTCCCTGATTTTGGCCATGACTTTGAGGTTCATAGTTCAAAGGGTCATCAAGAGCACGAACCATTGAACTTTGATGATTCATATTATGATCATAACAATAACTTCCATAGTTATTATCATGATAGCCAGTCCATGCCCAATTTTGAGGAGGCTCATAATAGTTTCCACCATAATTTTGAGGAGGCTCATTTTGAGGAGGCTCATAATGGTTTCCACCATAATTTTGAGGAGGCTCATTTTGAGGAGGCTCATAATGGTTTCCACCATAATTTTGAGGAGGCTCATTTTGAGGAGGCTCATAATGGTTTCCACCATAATTTTGAGGAGGCTCATTTTGAGGAGGCTCATAATGGTTTCCACCATAATTTTGAGGAGGCTCATAATAGTTTCCACCATAATTTTGAGGAGGCTCATAATAGTTTACACAAGGCATTTGACGATCATACCCTCCACAATGTGGAACCTCCTCTTCCATTCTTTGCCAATTTTGGTACACACTTTCAGGCTCTTGACCATGGTAAAACGGACGATGACACGACGGTCCAGACCTATCGGAGTCATAAATTGGAGGATACTGAGAAGAAGACTCTGAAAATCCATCATCAATGGCTGTTCCTTTTTCTTTCTCATCGCTTGTGTATCTTTGAGGGAAGCTCGGTTCGTGATCATCTTCATCATCATCATCCGATGAGTTGGCTTGGATGCCAAAGCTATGTGTTCTTTCAGTATTGGTATTGGGGTTTGCATGAACACCATTGTTTCTATGGTTTGTACGAACACCATGGTTGTGGTTGTTTCTTGGATTTGCATGATCAATGCCATCGTAGTGGTTGATATCATCGGCTCGGAAATCTGTTTGGTCCCCAATGCTATGCCTTATCGAGTCGTTTTGACCACCAGCATTTCGGTATTTTGGTTTTCTTGATGATCTCCCTGAAAGAGGTTTTGACAAATCAAAAAGTGATTGTTACACTGCAAAGTTTCAGCATAATAAAGAGAAAAGAAAAGAAAAGAAAAGAGAAGAAAGAATTATATTATTAACAGCTCTGCTTGGTTGGATTTTCATATATTTTTTTTTTTCGTTTTTGGTTTTGTTGTGTTTTTAGAAACAAAAACCAAGAAAAGTTTGCAAACATTCATCAAAGTTCGTAAAGATCGAGTGTTTTCATTCCGTGCAAAAATAATTTTGGAAATTACAAAAAAAAAAACTTTTTTAGTGTTTCTTAAAAAGTGGATTGTCTTCAAAAATTATTTTTGAAAACAATTCTCGGAAACGATTCATGAAACATATTTCTTGTGCTTTCTGAAAAATGAAAACAAAAAATAGAAAGAAACAAAAATACAACCAAACAAAACAGTACAATAAAATGAGGAGATTGAAAATAAGAATGAAACAAAAGCTAGTGATTAAAAAAACTATGTAGTCCAAGTGTATAATCTTGTACATAGTTGCAAATAAACACTGCAACTGCAAATTAAATAAGGAGAGAGCAAATATATATATATAAAGAACCTTTTGATCTCAAACCATAGTGCATTGGCTTAGAAAAATCAGACCCCATTTATCTCTCAAGAGTTGGATTTAAACAACTCTCATTGACAAACAATATTAGGGCAATCAAGGCCTATTTATAGATGTCCTGTTTGATAAAGAAGGTGAGAATTCTAAATAGAAAAATATTATGCTAACAAAAAATCATTGTATTTTTGGAAATTAATTCCATTAAAAATAAAATAAAATCAGAACGTTGATTTGAATTTTGACTTTTGACTTTTGTTTCAATGACTATTGAGAATTTGAGAAAGGCAATAAAAAATGAAGAAACTTGCCTAAAAACTGTTTTAAAAAAGAGGCAATAAAATCATATGAGGCGGTGGAAATTTCCCTCCCAAAATTCCCTCTTTTTTTTTTTTATTTATTTTTTATTTTTTATTTTTTATTTCCAGGATAGGTAAATGCCCTCATCAATTTGCACGATTTTCACTCTTGCACAGGATTCTCTCACAATTCGTAGTTCTCTCCCCCTCACAATCGCACACCCGCATAGGTTTGTTCCCTTTTTGCTTTGCATCTCATTTCCCCTACTTGTGTCTCTCAATTTCTGTTTCGAATCTATGTTTGTCTATTTTCACTTCTTCTACTACTGTCTCTATCTACTCGTTCTGTAACTGCTGTTTGTGTCAAGAAAATTGAAAAGTGTTCTGGGTTATTGTTATTTATTGTAAAGATTGAGACCCTCTTGGTTCTTTTCTCTCATACGGCTCTCATCGTCTGAAGAACATTTTAAAGAGGCCCGATTGGGCATGTAAGTACAATACCCTTTCCATATCAGTTTTATTTGGGTATAGTTTTGTCTTACTTGATTACTGTTGTTGGCTACAATATGCTGAAAGTTACAGAGATGTTGAATATAAGACTGACGTTTTTTTTTTTTCTAGAACTAGAAATTTTATACACTGAGGAAAACAGAATCGTAGTGCTATTTGAGTTTGTAGATGTCAGAGAGGGGTATACCCTTTTGTATATCCTCGTGGTTTTTTCATGAATAGAATCATAGTGCTGTTGGTGTCAGATAGGGGGTAGAACAGTTTTAATTTTTTTGGTACACTTTTGTGGATAAAATCAGTGTTGTTGCATTGGATGGGAGGAGTTCTAGGAGTTCTAGAATCATAGTGCTATATGATTTCTCACCTTAAAAAGTCCTTCACTATGTAGAATTTGATGAATAACATGTTACAAGATTTGAGAATGATAATAGTCTTATTCATTGCTATATCCAATCTCGGTTTTGAACTATATAAATAATGTAAATATTCATGAAGTGCTTATGAATTTTAAGTTTGAAGGTGAAAATCCAAAAACTTGGCCATGTGAGATTACGAGTCCCTCTAGTTAGTAATGTATAAGGCCAGAATTTTACTCAAATTGTGCTGAAGTAAGGTCCAAGGAAGACACAAATCCTGGTTGTGTGAATGTTATTGTGTTGGGTGATTTTGATGATGAAACTCGATTTGGGATATAAATTTCAAGGAATGGTGTAGGGCGTTATAAATTGGGAATAAGATTTGGAAATGCGAGAGGTTTGTTTAATCCTTGTCTACGTAGTTAAACGAGGTTTATAATTAAATAAATCATCTAGAAAACTTTCCCCCTTTCTCTTTCTCTATCTTCCCATGTTTAAGTAGGCAAAGCATATAGAGTAGTAAAATTGAAACAAAGGTATGGGAAGATTGTAACTGTCTTGGCATCTTATTATTAAAAATATTATTTTTGTTATCTCTGCACATGAATTAAGTGTCTCACATCATCACTTGTTGGGTTAAGGGTTGTTAATGTTCTAGTTCTCAACCTTTTCTTTTCACTTATATCTTCTAGTTATTATTATTTTTTCCTTTGTTAACTGTAGTCTCCTACTTGATTGGAGAGCCAACTATGCTAAAATCCACTGAAGATGCTGACCAAGGTTTTTCTCATTTAAGGAGAGGTAATCTAGCTTAACATGGATACTAGTTATCATTTATTACTTTTTTGTTTTTACTCCTTAAGCTTCTATGTTTCAAAGTCTAGATGCCATTACTCATGGAGGGATGTAGAGTTTTCGAATGCATTATTTTGTGTACTTTCCAGAGATTGTCTCATCTGTGTAATTCCCATATAGTCTATATGTTTTTATTCCTTTGTACTTATTCTTGGTGGTTGGCAGCTGAGGCTTAGTAGCTTGACAACGCTTTGAACATGTTAAATGTTTTCAAGAGCATGAATTTGTGATTGTGATCTCTACAGTGAATCCTTTTTTATATTGTTGACATAGCATTTTGTCTTTATGATTAGTTTCTCTTAATCCAGTATAGTGTTATGTTACAAGCTTTGACCTCCATTATAAGTTTTCTCTAATAGGTTTTCTTGGCTACTGATGGTGGTCATTTAGTGTACCTAGAAATTGGTGATGGGATATCGACAGAAGTGAAACATGCACAATTGGAGTATGACATATCATGCCTTGATATAAATCCCATTGGTGAAAATCCCAACTGCTGTCAGCTAGCTGCGGTGGGAATGTGGACTGATATAAGTGTTAGATATTTTCTCTACCTGACTTGAATCTCATTACGAAGGAAAATTTGGGGGGAGAGATTATACCACGCTTTGTTCTTTTATGTTCGTTTGAAGGGGTACATTTTATTCGTAAGCTTTATGGGCCTCTGTGTTCTGTATTTATCTTGATTTGCATGCATGCAGATTGTTTGTGATAGGGAATGTAGGATTTTCTATTATAGATTCAGAATGCTCTACAACTGCAATATATGCAAATGGCACACGTTCTAGACTCGGTCTTCCATTATAAACCACTTAAATTCTTGGATCTTTGATCCCTTTTGTTTTAGTATTGTTTTGAACCATAATAATGTGGACCAATTTGGCATTTAGATTCCTGAAAAATGAAGCTGGGATGGCTTTGGAATTGAGCGTGTGCCACTTTCGTTAACATGTTAATTGCAAAATATACCTACGCAGTTTATCCTTACTTCATGCCCCCAATGCTTGATTTCTTTTCAGATATCTTATTTGCTATGTGCCCTTGGAGATGGTCATCACTTTTTATTGAACATGAGCACTGGGGAGTTGACAGATAGGAAAAAGGTGTCCCTTGGGACCCTGCGTATAACACTCCGCACTTTCTCATCAAAGATGAAATGTCCTGCATTATGATCATTCTCGTGGCTTTCTTCAACTAAGATGTTCTGCCTTTGTTTCAACTGCATTAATCTGTTTTTTATGCTGACTTGGATTTATTTTTCCTTGAAAATTTATTTTGGTGTCAAGAAAGTAAACACTCAAGTCGCATTGATTGCAAACAATTAGTATTCTGTCAAGTTGCTTTTTTTCTTTTGTTGCTATATTTTATATACCTTGTTCAGTAATACTCTCATTAATGTATTGGTAATACTCATGTATATATCCTAACATATACACTTGCAAATAGCTTTGAAGAGGTGTTTTCTGTCGTCTATAATTTATATTAATAATAACCCACTATAGTGTGCTCTCATTTCTATATGCTATGAAACACTCCATTTTTGTTGCCGTAGTAGTGTGCAACACATGTCGAACAAGACACCACTCAGATATGTGTCAGACATGCCATGTGGCATTTATATTAATTTTTTTAGTGGACATGTTGGAGGACACGTCGAGGACACATGTCCTATTTCTGGACACACCACAGGACATGTTTTGGGATTTATTATAATTCTGGAAAGGTGGTTTGGTAGAGTGATGTACTAATTTGAAAACAAGTGGGTGGGATATGAAAAAAGGAAAAGAAAAGAAGAGAATGATCAGAAGGCTGGGCATTTCATCCTGTTCACTTCTTGTGTCTTTAATCTGACCCCTGTTTAGTTCATACTTATTTTTTCCCCTCATATATGCTTGTTCATACTTAGTTCTTGGGACGTAAAATCTGGGTGTTTTTTCCATGTTAAAGTAGTGTTATTAATGTTTGTGTTCGTGCCCGTCCTTTTTAGTCAATGTGGTTATCTCATAAACAAATGCTTATCATTTCATTTTCATGCATTTGAATTGTTCCAGTCGAGAGAGTACACAACAACAACATGTAGACCAGAACAATGCTTCCATGGAATTGATCAATAGTGTGACTGGTACCGATGAGGAGGGTTGGTCTCGGCAACGGATTCTTACATTTGCTGTTAGGAGGTAGTCATTGATTTTGAATTATGAATTATCAGCTTGTTTGGCATTACTTGTACCTTTGTTTCTTTTCAAATTTTATAATAAGGTGTTGAGTTGTATGCTTCTAGAGTATCACACAAAAATTATGGCAAAGAAGTAAATTATGACAAAAATACATGTTTATAAGCAAAGCCTATTGAACTCTCTGTACCGTGATAAAATATTTTTTCTACTTTTCAAGTGGTTGAAGGTTCATAAAATTCTGAACTCATCAAAAATAGTGGATCTACTGTTATTGAAGGTGGTAAGCTTTTTACTTTTAACTTTTAAAATGTAGCTGTTCAGTGTTGATTTTTGCTTCCAAACATAATCTCAAACCTTAACCCGATTGTTTTTGTTGCACTGGATGTGTTTCACAGAGCCTCGTCTTCTGTTGAATTTTTTAATACGCCTTCAGTCATTGTCGTTTTCAAGATTAACGAGTGGGGGATTGTAGCCCAACTATCTTTTTGGAAAGATACATCGGCATACCGTTTTCTTTCTTTTCGGCTTTTCTCTGTCGCTTCTTCTTCTTCTTCCTCTTTATAATATGAAACCTTAATTTGGTATATTACTTGGGCTTAAGCTTTTCTGCCATGTTGGTAACTTGGTATACCCACTCTCTGTTCAATTTGTTTGGCCAGTAGGTTACTTGGGATGTGACATTAAAATTCTTCAAACTGGACTTGACATGTACAGTGGCAGCACTCTTTTCATTTTGGAGACAAAAAGTTGAATCTCTTCAATGGCAATATTGAGTAATAAATTACTTTTATTTCAGGCTCTATGTTCTTAGTGTTTATACTTACAGCTTCATGGGCACATTTACCATTGAACTCGCTTTGTGTGTATTAGAAACTAGCATATAGTTCGTTTTGAGACGGGATCTAGCTTTACATATAACTCACTCTTGATTCCAGATCTGCCATTTGACTTTACTTTCTTTGTAATACAACACATGTGTTTGCTGCATCAGATAGGCCAACTGTCATTTATAGTAGTAACAAGAAATTACTCTACAGCAATTTAAATTTGAAAGAGGTCAGTCATATGTGCCTTTTCAACTCTGCTGCTTTTCCAGACAGGTAAATTTGGCTCTCTTAATTTTAAGTTTTTTTCCCGTCATCATCGTCAATTGAAATGTTGGAACTTGATTCTTTTGTATTTTTTCTTAAACACACTTCTTGAATGGGAAAAGGAGAAATCTTTAATTGTTATTATAGTCCATGCTTCTATAGGTAATTCTATGCCACTTCTTGGTAATTTTAGCTCATCAGTTTGTTTTGGTCAAAGTCATCACTCCTACCGTTGAACTCTCTCTCTCCATTGTTGTGGTTTTCTGTCATTAAAAGACCTGCACAAGACCATCTTGGGGTCAGTTTCTCAGCAACAGCAACAATTGAGATGCATGGAGGAACATGTCTCTTCATTTCTTGCTATAAATATGACTTATGAACTGAAAGCTGATGTCTCTTTCATGTGTTAAACTTGTAAGTTAATTTTCTTAATCTTACATCATTTTCTCATACTGATGTGGATCTTATTTGGTTGATTCATAAACTAAATTTAGGGATGATGTTTTAGGGGTCTAAAGCATTTTCTGGGATTGAAGTATATTGAGTTTGTTTGTTTTTTTCTGTGCTGTTAAACAGGAAGAGGCTGCTAGAGAAGAGAAGCAGGCAATGGAAAAAATTGCGGCAATATTAGCATCTCTTACAGCTAAGAAAACAGCTATGGTGAGTCTTTTTTAACTACATGTCTTGCCAAAATTATTAGGTAGAATTGTTTGCTTGACATGTAAGAACCATGTGAGCTATAGAGGAAACTGTTAACATGGCAGCAGTGATTAGTGTCAAATTTCACCTCATGTATTCTAACCAGTCTGTAGTGAATGAAGATTATTAGTAAATGCAACATGGGTTTCTAAATCAAAATGGGTTTTATGTGATTTGGGTGAGGCATTCAAGATTACGTTCTTTTTTTTTTCTTTTTTTTTTTCTGTAAAAAATTAAGTTATTTTTCTTTTGGCTTCTTTAGCTTTCAAGGAGTTTTTTTTCCTGAGAAAAGTTCTGTATGGAATGTATAATGGTTTATGGTAACATTGCAAAAGCAGTTGCTTTTATGGGCATTTGAAAACATTTCAAATTACATTACAGATGGATAGGGTTTTTATTTATTTATTTATATAAAAAAAAAGTATTTCTAGCACCCTGAGTATTGCATGACCTAAGGCTTTGGATATAAGTTGCAAGTTATTCATTACATTTGAGTGCATTTAGTAATTCTGTCACGTAATTGTCTTCGTTTGAATTTGCAGCACAAATATGGTCAATTACTCTGGGCAGCAGTGGGAAAAGGCAGCCTTATTAAATAGTGTAATTCTGCACAGGTTGATCAGCATACTAGTACAACTCCGAAGTTGAAGATAATAGCAGCGCCTAGATTGGCATCCATCGAGGAGATGAGAACACCTGCAGTTGGAGATCTTATGGCGAATTTTACCAGACCAAATTTGGGCTGTACTAAAAGCAAGATCCAACATCAACAAGGGCCGTGTTTCGGAGCATCACCTAATAATAGAACTCCTTTTGCGGATGCCAATTTCTCTTAATGAGCTCCTTGATAAGAATATTTTGACAAATGGAAAACTTGAGCAGCTTCATCTGTTGTATGTTATTGGATGAGTCTTAAATTCAAAAGTGTATTAGTATAAAGTTTGCCAATTCAGAAAGCTGAGGTTGGCTTTATGTTTAGTCCAAAATATATGTTATAAACTACTGTGCATGAGGGATGTCTTTTGTAAATCTGTAAATCTTATAAAAATTCTAAATGATTTTCAATTATTTTTGTGCAAATTTATCGTTGCCAAAAAGTAAAACTTTCTCGACAAACAATTTATCGGTAAATGTGTTGTCAATAGTTTACTTTTGTCGACTCATATTGTGTTGCTAGAAGTGTATTTTTTGGCAATGCAAATTTGTCAATGCCAAAAGTTTTCTCGACAAACAAATCGTCGGCAAATGTCAACATTTACTTGCATAAATGTGTCGCCAGAAGTTTTTTTTTGCCGACACAAATGTGTCAGGAAAAGTGCCACACAATCATCATGTTTAAATTACTTTTATCGACGCAAGGTAAATTGCCGACGATGGATGAAGACTTTTATCGACGACTATGTTTGTTGCTAAAGACTTTTACTTTTACCAACACAATGATAATTTCGTGCAAAAAGTTTTGCCGACTCACTTTTACTCACGGGTTGCCAACGTAGCTTTGTGTGTCGGCAAACATTTTAACGATGATTTTTCTCTTTTAGCAACATATTTTGTTGCGTTGCGAAAAATGTAATTTCTTGTATTATTGCATTTTAGCCACGAAAGTAAATAATTAGGATCTGTTTGGCAACTATTTCGTTTTTAGTTTTTAGTGTATATTTACAAAAATTTTAAAAACGGTTATAGAAACTTGTTTGATAATTTTTTTAGTTTATAAATGGTTGTCCCAATTTGTAAATTTAAGGAAAAAACGTAAACTCATACTCAAAAAATGAGTTTACGTTGGTTTTTAAATAAAAATTTAAAATTTTGACTAACAAATTTTTTTATTTCAATTTTTTTTTCAAATATTTTTATTTCAATTAAATTTTTTTTTCAATTAATTTTTTTTTTTCAATTATAATGTGTATGATCACATTGTCATAAACAATAAAAAATAAATATACATATTTTAGGATTGAACAAACATATTTTTTAGTTTATATTTTTAAAATTTTTCTAACATTTTGTTCAAACCAAACTCATTTGTAGTTTATGTTTTTTTAAAAATAAACAAAAACCAATTTATAGAATTTTTGTAAACATAAATAAAAAATGTAAACATTACAAAACGCTACAATGTTCAAAAAAAAAAAAAAAAAATGGACCATGGCTCACATATTCAAATGCATGATACTAGAATGTCACAACTTTAGGTAACTTTAACATTGTAACTCTTTTGTTTAACTTAGATGAGTGTTGTCCGTTTGTTTTCAGAATTAGGTTGGATGGTAATATTAGTAAGGAGATTGTTAGTGAAGGGACTAAAAAAACTGTGTTTGCTTGTGATATATTTTAGTGAGGAAATTAACTATATGAAATACCATAAATACCTTTTGGTGTTTTGATATATTTTAATATTAAAAATTATATTTTATAAACATTTTTTGTACTATATTATTTTAATATATGTACATATATATAACATGACGTAAACCCTCCCCCCACCTCCCCCACACACAAACACACACCATGGGAAAATAGTCTTTTTCTAAGTTAATTCCCTCCCTAATTTTCAAACCCAACCCTTAGAGGCCTGTGCTAATCCCCTCTTCCAAGGCCCATGCTAGTCCCAATAGACTACCACTCCCAAGCTCCACTTTTCAAACAAATATGATTTTAGCACTCCTAACTCACTAATAATCTAATCCCAAACTGCTACCTCTTAAAACAAGCAGAGCCTTAGAAGCTTGTTGGGAATGTGTTATTTTTTCCTTTTTGCCCTTATTGAAATTGGTAGATTACACTGACCCCTCTTATAACGGTTCCAGTTTAGACCCGACCCTTTACATGCTCTTAGATCCGGGATTCTGTACCTTTAATTGTTGTTTATACCCTTATCCTCTTGTTGTTAGTTGAGTTTGGTTGTTAGACTTGTTGGCTGTGTTTGAAACGGGCTGAGAGTTAATTTTTCAATAGAGTTGTTGTCTATTTCACTTCTAGTTCGCTCGGGCGATGTTTGGTCGCTCGAGCAATCTTTGAGATTTCTTAGTATTTTTGCAGTTCTGAAAAACTTTTGGAAATAGGGTGATCTTTGCTCAAGCAATCTTTTGTAGGTTTGAACTTCTGGGAGGAGGTCATTGGACGTTGGAGCGGTGTTTTGGTCACTCAATAGGTGTCACCTATTGTGTTTGACGCTTGAGTGGTCTGCGCATATGTCAGATCGGAAAAAAGGGGTTTTTGTCACTATTTCACTTCTTCTCTCTCTATAAAACAATCCGAACCCTAATTATCTCTCTCTCTCTCTCTCTATTTCTTTTCAAAATACCTCAAATACTCCCTAATCCATTGATTTCTCCACCATAGTTCCTTGGAGAAAAAGGTAGAGCTCGTCGAAAGTTTCATTTTAATCGAAGAAGATCTTGTTTTTGGCTCTGTCAAACTTCTACCCTTGCTCTTTTCCTCTTCTACTCTTAAAGTAGAGATTTCTTCAACCATTGGTATGATTCTTAACTTAATTAATTTCTCTTTGAAAAGGTTTAGGGTTTGATTTTGAAATGTAAAAAAGGGGGGTTTTTCAAATAAATTCTTAAGAAAGGTTGTGGGAGTGTGTATATTGCTGGGTTGTATTGAAATATTAGAATTTCCTTCCTTAAATGTGATTTTGAAAGTAAAGAAGGTTTTGTTTGAAAAATCATTGATGTTTGATTTATGAAAGAAAGGGAAAAGATGTTGGGTTTGAAAAGATAAGAAGTATGTAAATGTTGATGATGAGAGTGGAGTTGGATATATATTATCGCTCCCATTTTGAAATTTATCAGATTATATCTATTGCGAAAAATTATATGCTGAGTAGAAATATCTATTTTGGGCTATCAGTAGAAGATAGCTTTGATTGTCGTATAAATTGCATGAGGATTAGGTTAATTGAAACTAATTACTCATACACCTTACATTGAGCATTGTTTCATACTTAAATATTGAAATTGTATTATTTTGAGAAAAATAGGTGTATACCTTAGTGAATCTAGTTAGGGATTGTGGTTGTGGTTTATTATGTTAGCATGTGTGTCCTCGGCAAGTTTGACTTGCATCTTAGCAAGTCCATTGAGTTGGTCATTTTATTTACGCGATTGCACAACCTACCTTGGTTAGTAGGGTTATGGAGACACAATAGCATGATCACGAGGTAGAGACTATCTGGGGAAAGATCTCCAACGGGGAAGTAGAGAAAGGTTTGAATGTTCATTCAGACTTGAGTGTGAGATATTTAGATTGCCTTTCTGTGCCAAAGTCTTGTAGAAATGAGGTACTCTGAGAGTTCCATCATTCACGTCTTGCAGTAAACCTAGGAGGCACGAAGATGTACCACGATCATTGTCGCCAGTTTTGGTGGAAGGGGATGAATAGAGATACGGCTTTGTTTGTTTCGAGGTGCCTTGGTTGTCAACAAATGAACGCCGAGCACTAACGGCCAGCGGATTTGTTACAATCCTTACCTGTAGCCGAATGCAAATGGGAGCATGTCACGATGGATTTTGTTGTAGGTCTTCTGAGGACTCAATGGGGGTAATAATGTCGTGTGGGTAATTGTCAACCGATTAACCAAGCCTGCGCACTTCATACCTTTGCACACGAGTGACTCAATGGACTTTCTTGTCGAGCTATATATTAGAGACATAGTGCGACTTCACGGGGTCCCCATGACTATTGTTTTAGATGGGGATCCGCGTTCATGGATCGGTTGTAGTAGAGCCTATAGAGTGCTTTGGGCACCAAGTTGACTTTTAGTACAATCTATCATCCTCAGACTGACGAGCAGTCTGAGCGCACTGTTGAAACCCTAAAGGACATGTTTCGAGCTTGTGTTCTCGATTTTAAGAGATCGTGGGAGAGGCATTTGCCTGTAGTAAAGTTTGCCTATAATAATAGCTTTTAGGTGAGTATTAGAATGGTAATTTTTTAGGCCCTGTATGGCTGATCGTGTAGATCACCTATGTGTTAGGCCAATGTGCGTGACGTACTTGTGTTATGTCCGGAATTAGTCCGAAAACGACAAAGAAGGTTGCACTTATCCGTAAGAGGTTGGTTTCGGCTTAGAGTCATCAAAAGAGCTACGCTTACCAGAGGAGGAGACCTGTAATAACCCTCACCACTGCTTACCGATAACCACTGATTACCGTCAAACTGAACTGATTACGACTGATAATTGAACTGATTAAAATACTGAACTGACTGACTGGAATCCAGAATTAATTGACTGACTGTATCTGTTTAAATGCATAATCCATCTGTTTGACTGTTTGACTATCTGTTCATGTTTTATGCTTTTAACTGTTAATTGAAGGCCTTATCGGCGGCCGAATCCGGAATTGATCGATGTTCTGTGATCCTTAGAATTAATGTGATTTTATAGTGTATTTATCTGAAAACTGATTAGGTATGATTAAACTAGATTAAATATTGATCAATTGCTTAAGTTTGACTTAATTACCATTAGACCACTTAGTGGCCACTACCTCACACATGTTGAGCCTTGTATACACTTAAATCAAAACATTTCATCAGCCTTTCTCCTTGCCATAGCCGACCAAGAGAGAAGAGAGGGAGAGAGTGGGAGAAATTGGATTCCATCTTGAGTTTTGCTTGCTAATTGAAGGTTGATTGTTAATTTGAGCTCCTAAATCTTGAATACAAGACTAAGGTAGGAAACTCATCTTCTTATTGTTGCCATTGAGCTAGTTCTTGCATGATTCATGCTTCATTGTAGAACTAAGTCATGTTTTGGTTCATTGTTGTTGAATTGAAGCTCAATCCTTGCATGCATGGTTGTATTGTAGATGTTGAGTTGTTTTCATGGCAAAATGTTACATGCATGTTCACAATTATGTTTAAGTCCATGATTTCATCATGTTTTGGAAACAATTGGCTCCTTAGAGCATCAAATTGAAGCTTTGAATTGATTTGAATTCATGCATGTTTGCATGTTCTCCATGTTCATGAAATTGGTTTGAAATTGGGTTTGAATTAAACACCCTTGGGCTTTGATTTCTCAAAGTGAGTTTTGAATCATGTTTAACTATGAGTTT